AAAACTTTGGTGCAATTTGGAAGATAGTAGCGAGTGACCGAGATGGAACCCATTGTGAGATTGATATATCGTTCATAACGTCTTTAGCACCTGTTACCATACAATGGGTCCTATTTTATTAAGAAAATTTGACTTTTGCTTAGTAAGCTATTAACTTATAGGGTATGCAGATATAGAATGAAGAACATGACAAAGGAGAGTGGTCCTTTCATTTATGCAAATCAAAGACCAAATACTTTGAGACTCGAAATTGAATTATGAAAATATTTTGCCCAAGCCATACGCAATGACTTTCTACAAAACAGTCACGTCTAACATATAATCCAAGACATCACAATTGCAAAAACTTTGGTGCAATTTGGAAGATAATAGCAAGTGACCGAGATGGATCCCATTGTGAGATTGATATACCGTTCATAACGTCTTTAGCACCAATCACCATACAATGGGTCCTATTTTATTAAGAAAAATTAACTTTTACTTCGTAAGATTGACCGGGACAAAAAAAAAAAAGAACTATCAAATAACACTTAGTGCAAAGTGGGTCATAAATATATGTATTATATATATTCAAACCTACTTGATTGCTTACAAATCATGTAAATTGTTTAGTCAAATTCTTTACATAACTACAATTTGATAGCCCTAAAATGAATATTTAGGTACCTTATTATCCTGTCTTCAACCCAGAATAAAAATTATATTTTCTATGTTTTTATTTTTACTTTCTTTCTACATTCTTTTATTTTTTTTTTATCTCTTTTCTTCTATTGAGCAATATTAATGAGATATTAGTAATCGTTTTAAACATCTGTACTTTGTTTTAAAGAAATTATTAAGTGGATCGAAAACATATGACCGACCGATCATATAAAACTCTTATGTATACCCAGCCTTGCACCCTTGGGTATGACTCCCAGGTTGTCACAAAACAGAACATAAGGGTTCACTGCCATTTGCCAGCCTAGTCAATCAAGTTTATTGCAATTTACTCTTGTATCATACCCTTGTATCATTATCTCACCTTACTTTTTTCCGCTTATTGCAATTTCAAATGAACAAATTATAGTTAGGATGTATAAAAGCATACTCCGCACCATGAAATAAAACAAATATTCCAACTTTTCGAAAAAATAAATACATGTATAAATAAATGTTCCATGTACCCATGGAGACGTGAAATGGAATTGTAAAAGATGTTTGCTCAGATCACACGCAAAAATTTTGAGCAAAGCCAAAGACTTTGAGCAAAGCCGTCATATCTAACTTATAATGAAAAGACTTTGCAATTGCAAAAACTTTTGAGGCAATTAGAAATGAATATGATTTTCAGGGGTCTAGGCTTACTGGAGGTAAGCTAAACCCATCCTTACAGGAGTTGAAGCATCTGACTTACTTGGATCTTAGCGGCAACTATTTTAATGGGATTCAGATTCCAAGCTTCATTGGTTCCTTTGGGAGCTTAAGATATCGTAATCTCTCATTGGTTCTTGTTTTTGACATTTTTATTTTATTTTATTTTTGTTTTGCTAATTTTGTTCTTCCTAATCTCTGTTTAAAAATATATATATATGTTCAAAGTGAACAATCCGAGTTCACTGTTTTTGCCTTACTGTTCTTCAGTTTTATTTATTTTCATTTTAAAGCAAATAGATATAATTTGCTCACTGTTTTGTGTGTGTGTGTTATTTTCTTATACATATAATATCGTCCCATTTGATACGGTGAGTAATAAAAAAAAAAATCAAAATTCAAAAAGAGATACCTGTTTGGCTGTCTAGTTTTAGCCTTCTTGAATACCTTGATTTGTCCTACAATTCTTTTCATTCTACAATACCTGAGTGGCTATCTAATTTCAGTCATCTTGAGTATCTTGATCTGTCATCGAATTTCTTCACAGGAAGTTTGCCAAGATCCTTTGAAAATCTTTGCAACTTGAAAGTACTTGGACTGGAAAGTGTTGAAATTGGTGGTGATATAGTGGAGATTTCAAACATTTGTTCCAGTTGCATTTTAGATGTAATAGAAACTCTATTTAAGACACAATAACTTGAGTGGACCCCTTCCTGAAAATTTTGTCCAACTTGCACATCTAGAGAGTTTTTCTGTGTCACAAAATTCATTACAAGGTGTCATCTCTGAAGTCCACTTCGCCAACCTCACACGATTGAAGTATCTCGACGGATTTGGGAATCAATTGTTCTTGAGTGTCAGTCCAAATTGGTTTCCTCCATTCCAACTTGGGGAATTCTCATTTAGGTCATGTCGGTTAGGTCCACAATTTCCCTATCGGCTTCACTCACAGAAAATATGAGTGTCTTTAGACATATCACATACAGAAATTTTGGGTACCGTTCCTAGGTGGTTTTGGAACTTATCATCTCAGATTTTCTATTTAAATTTCTCTCACAATCATATCCATGGTGAGATTGTAGATGAGCTTTTAGCCGCATCTGTTCCATTCATTGCATTTAAGTTCCAACCACTTTAATGGTACACTGTCTCGTTTGTCGTCAAATATATCGACACTAGATCTTTTAAACAATGCATTTTCTGGATCTATTTCTCACTTTCTGTGTTACAAGATGGATGAATCTAAAAACCTGCAACTTCTTAATATAGAAAGGAATCTTTTGTCAGGAGAATTGTCCAACTGTTGGGCAAGTTGGAATAATTTGGAGTTCGTAAATTTATCAAATAACAATCTAAGTGGCAAAATCCCAAGCTCCATGGGATCTCTAGATTTTCTCGAATCGTTGCATTTACGAAACAATAGCCTAGCTGGGGAATTACCTCCATCACTGCAAAATTGCACAAGGTTAGTGGCTGTCTATTTTGATGAAAATGAATTTTCAGGAAGTATACCCACATGGATAGGAGAAAGGCTTTCATATCTCAAGATTCTTATCCTAAGATCAAATAAGTTTCAAAGCCATATTACGAATCTTGGACCTTGCACATAATAATTTTTCGGGAAGTATACCAATATGTTTCATGAATTTTAGCGCTATGGCCATACAACAAAACTCAAGTGAACAAATGTTATACCAGCCTAATTCTACTTTATTCCCTTCTAAAGGTTTTTTAGAGAATGCATTATTGGTAATCAAAGGACAAATGACAGGATATAGCACTATTCTTCAACTAGTTACGAGCATGGATTTTTCAAATAACAATTTATCAGGAGAGATCCCTGAGGAATTGATGAGTCTCCGAGGGCTTCATTCATTAAATTTGTCATACAATCTTTTGACAGGAAGAATTCCAAAGAATATTGGTGCTATGGAACAACTAGAAGCCATTGATTTCTCCATGAATCAACTTTTTGGTGAAATCCCTCCAAGCATGTCAAGTTTGACATTCCTAAGTCACTTGAACTTTTCCTACAACAATTTGAGTGGAAAAATACCATCAAACACTTAATTTCAAAGTTTCGATGCATTCAGTTATGTTGGAAACAGTTTATGTGGACCTCCTGTTAATAACAACTGCAGTGTTAATGATACACCATCTGCTATTGAAAATGGAGCAGACAAAACAGGCGATAGATTTGCAGTGGACTGGTTCTATGTTAGTATGGCACTAGGATTTGTGGTGGGCTTTTGGGGTGTAGTTGGTCCATTTCTGTTTAACAAGTCATGGAGATTTGTATGTTTTTAGTTCATGGACAATATCTGGTGTAGTTCATAGCGTTATATGTTCATGTGGATGATCCAGTAACATAAATAAAAATTGTGATCTTTATTAATCTATAATGTAATCTGTGATTTTCTGTATACATAGATGATTGAATTATGCTTTCATATTTCTCTTGCATCAATTTCCTATCTTCATCATCAGTAACACAAACAACATCAAAATGACAGGAAAAGAGAACACGAGTGAAGTAGATTTTTGTAATCATATAACTTACCCTCCCAAATAATAGATGGACAAGTGACATAAAAGGTTATGTGGAGATTTGTATGTTTACTCTCTTCCAAGTGAATTAGGGGATTTGCTTGCTTTACGTCCAACTGTGGCAACACACCCTATGATTCTTCCCCTTTATTATTAGGAGATTGACTGACAATGAATGTCGGAAAGTGAGTGCACCAATATGAACCATGTATCTGCTTGTGGTTGGATAATTTTGGCATATCCATTCTTCGTGATAGCATATCCACTTGAAATTTTTGGAAAAAAACCCTATTTTTTCCTGGAAAATAAATCGTTTGTATTAGCAGAATGTTATTTCAATGAAGAATAAAATCATATAATGTGTCAATTCTGGAGGCGAGGCATGCATGCATTATGATAGAAGTGATGTTGCTACAAGAAATTGATTAGGCAAGCAAAGTTCTGGAAAAAAACACAGAAGAATACTTCATTGTTAATTATTATCACAAATTGTTGGAAATCTTATATATAAGTTGACTCAACGATTATGGCAGATTTATTGGGTCTTCAATATAGGCTAATTTTTAGGGATTTTATTTTTATTCTGATTTGATTTTATTTGATTTTATTCTCTTTATTTTGATTTGATTTTGTTCTCTTTTCCATATTTGTAATTTTTCGCTTGTATATAATGATAGTCAGGCTCTCAAATTGAGTACGCCAATTTTACCAAGTTACTTTTTGGTAACAGAGCCTCAAACCTACGCCTCCCCCATTTCTCTCTCTTTCACCGCCTCTTTTAATATCTCTCTCTATCTCGTTACAACCCCTTCCCTATTTTTTTTTTCACAGACCTTCTCTCTTTTTCAGGTCGCTGTTGCGACAGTCCTAGGGGGAGTTAATCTACTCTAGGTTCGACCCCTGTAGGGGTATTCCCTTAGTCTTTTTCATGCACTAAGGGTCACAAGACGTGTTTGTAATTTTTTGGGGCTGCCGGGACATTCGGCAGCATTTTCGGATCTGACCGCCGTGTCTCCGGCTTCTTGGTTTGATCAAAATTAGGTTTATTCCTCCTTTATTTGAAATTATTGGTAATATGTTGAATTGATCTATTTAATATTATGGCTGAATCAAGTACTAATAAAGAAACTCTCTTTTCGGCACAACACACACCAGCTCAACGAGTTACTAGTGTGCTGTTGAATGGCCGTAATTTTGCATCTTGGGCTCGTTCCCTCCGCCTCTATGTTAGTGGAAAAGGCAAATCAGGGTGGATTTTAGGTACTGAAAAGAGGCCAGATATTAAAGATCCTAAATATGCTTAGTGGGATATGGACAATTGCACCATTTTAGGATGGATGTTTAATTCTATGGAGGAACGCATTTATAATATATTCATGTTTTATGACTCTGTTAATGACTTGTGAACTGCTTTGAATCAAATGTATGCTCATTCTAGGAATGATGCTCGTATTTTTGAATTATATCAAGATATTGCTAAGGCCTCGTAGGAAGGCCTGAATTTGTCTGTAACTGATTATTTTGGGTATTTGAGATCTCGTTGGGAGGAACTAGCTCAATATGAGCCTCTCAGTGAATTTCCTTTTGAGGTAGCCTCTCTTCTTGTCAAACGTCTTGATCGTCAGCATACCTATCAGTTTTTGATGGGATTACGCCCAGAATTTGAACCACTAAAGTCTCAGATCTTGAATGCATCACCAATGCCATCCCTGTTGGAAGCCTTTGCTACTGTTAATGGTGAAGCACGCAGGCACTGTTTAATTCAGCCCTCAATTGTTCTTGTACCAGTGTCTGAGCCTGCTTGGGATGGTATGGCTTTTGCAGCCAACTTTGGATCATGAGCTTCTGGAGGTCAGATTATTTGTCACCATTGTGGAGGGGTTGGACATGTTAAGGCTCGTTGCTTCAAACTTCATCCTGAACTGAAACAAAAATTTTCTAGGAACCGTTTATCTAGAACTGGTTCTTCTCGTACTGCGGCTGTTGCAGAATCTCCTGTTATTACTGGTGGATCTACTATATTTCCTGGACTGAGCCAGTTTTAGTCTCAAATTAGGCATATCTAGGACCAACTTAGCTTCCTTACTTCTAGAGTTAATGTTCCTTCAACTACTCCCACTGCAACTATTGTTATAGGTACTCCTACTGCATTTCATGTTAAGGCCAAGCAGCCCACTTGGGTTCTAGATTCTGGGGCCAATGATCACATGACTGGTGAGTTATCAGTTTTTTCTTTTAATGTCATACCTGTTACCCAATCTATGTATCTTGCGGATGGCTCTACATCTTACATTCACAGTAAGGGTGATGTTTGTCTGTCTCCTGATATTACTCTTTCATCTGTCCTTCATGTACCTAAATTTTCCTTTAACCTTTTATCTGTTAGCCGGCTTGCAAAAAACCTCCAATGTGCAGTTATATTCTTACCAGATCACTATTTGTTGCAGGACCTTTGTTCGAAGAGGATTTTTGGTAGGGGTTATGAGCGTGATGGGCTTTACTACTTTGGGGAACCACCAGGAATGAGTCTTCAAGCTTCTGTCCTACCTACTTCTAGTATTTATGATGTTTCTTTTCGCACTTTTAGTCTGTGGCATGCACGTTTGGGGCATGTAAACTTTCAATATCTATATCTATTGTTTCCTTCGTTAAATAAAGCATGTAAGGACCATAAGTTTCAATGTGAAGTTTGTGAACTTTCTAAACATACTAGAACTAGCTATATTTCTCATATGAGTCGTGCTCCTAGTATGTTTGATCTTATTCATTCTGATGTCTGGGGCCCTTCCCCAGTTACTGCTTTCTTTGGACATCGATATTATGTGACATTTATTGATGATTATTCTCGTTATACTTGGATTTATTTATTGAAAAAGAAATCTGATGTGTTTATTTTATTTATCCAGTTTCTTCAAATGATCAAAACCCGGTATAACATTGTTGTCCGTAATATTCGTTCTGATAATGGACGAGAATATGTTTCGAATGAGTTCTGGTCTGAACTTAATAAAAAGGGGATTTTACATCAACTCACTTGCCCCTATACTCTTGAGCAAAATGGCGTGGCTGAACGCAAAAACTGTCATCTTATGTCTGTGGTCCGATGTCTTCTGAGTGGTATGCATGTGCCTAAATTCTATTGGCACATGGCTATTCTTATAGCTGTTTTTCTGATTAATCGTACTCCTAGTCGAGTTTTGGGTGGTAAGGTAGCACTTCAGATTCTCCAGCCTGATTATACATTGTTTCACCTTCTGCCTTGTGTTTTTGGCTGTACTTGTTTTGTTCATAACCGTAGTCCTTCTCATCATAAACTTGATGATAAATCTATTAGGTGTATTTTCTTGGGGTATTATGCTATGTCAAAGGGCTATCGTTGTTATGATCCTATGACCAAACATATGTATCATTCTCTTGATATGACATTTCATGAAATTGTTCCTTTTTATAGTACTAATTCTATGGTACATGATTCTCTCTCTTGTGATCTGGAGAAGGAGATTTCTTTTATTGCCCGTCCTGTTCCTCTCTTTGAAAATGAAACTGTCCTAGAATCTCATTCTCCATCTATGCAGGGTTCCCCTCCACTTTTGCAGGTCTACTCTCGTCGCCATCGCACTCAACCTCCCCTGCCAGAATCATCTTCAATACCAGGTTCAGGTAACTCTCCTTCTCTTATTGCTCCTATAATTCTTGAACGTACTTCCCGTTATCCTACCCGTGATCGTCATCCTCCTAATTGGTATGGTTTTTCTAGTAACACTAACCACCCTATTTCCCAGTATGTCTCCTATGATGGTCTTTCAGGTGCATATAAATCCTTCCTGGGTAAGATTGGGACCATTTTTATTCCTCGATCTGTGTCAGAGGCCTTCCAGGATCCCAATTAGGTGTTTGCCATGACAACAGAAATGGATGCTTTACACCATAATAATACATGGGAACTTGTTGCTTTACCTTTTGGGGAGAAAACGGTTAGCTACAAATGGGTCTTTAATGTGAAGTACTTAGCCGATGGTTCTATTGATCGGTATAAGGATCGGTTGGTGGCAAAAGGCTTTACTCAGATTCCGGGCAAATAGTTTAGTGCTACCTTTGCTCCTGTGGCTAAGTTGACGTCTGTACGACTGCTTGTCTCCTTGTCTGCTGCCCATTCTTGGCCTCTACATCAGTTAGATGTCAAGAATGCATTTTTTAATGGAGACTTACTTGAGACTATATATATGGATCCACCCCCTGGATTTCGGGCTGAGGGGGAGTATGCTGGGAAAGTTTATAGGCTACGGAAGTCTCTTTATGGTCTGAAGCAATCTCTTAGAGCTTGGTTTAGTCGTTTCAGCGATATTGTTTTATCCATAGGCTTTGTGCGCTGCCACTCAGACCATACTTGTTTTATTCGACGTCGCTTTGATGGTCGTTGCATTATGTTATTGGTATATGTGGATGATATCATTATCACAGGTGATGATGCTTCAGGGATTGCTCAGGCAAAACTTTATCTTCAAAAGTCCTTTGATGTGAAGGACTTAGGTCTTCTTCAATATTTTCTTGGAATTGAGGTTGCTATATCCCGTCGTGGAATTTCTTTATCTCAAAGGAAATATGTTTTGGATCTTCTTCAAGATACTGGCATGCTTGGGTGTTGACCCTCTTCCACTCCTATGGACCCCAATCTTAAACTCTCTGTTGAGTCAGGGGAATTACTTCCAGATCCATCCGTGTATCAACGTTTAGTAGGTCGTCTTATCTACTTGACTAATACAAGGCTCGATTTGACATTTGCTGTTAGTGTGATTAGTTAATTCATGCATGCCCCTCGCTTAGCTCATATGGATGCAGTCTACCATATTTTAAGGTACCTTAAGTTGTGCCCTAGTCTTGGTCTGTTCTATGCCTTAGGAAATCAGTCTGGACTCTCATGCTTTATTGATACAGACTATGCTGGATGTAAGACAGATAAACGTTCTATCTCTGGTTTCTGTACTTTCTATGGTAATCATCTCATATCATGGAAGAGTAAGAAGCAGGCTGTTGTTTCTAGATCCTCTGCTGAAGCTGAATACCGAGCTATGGCTTAAGATACTTGTGAGCTCCTTTGGCTTCAATCAATTTTGGGAGAGTTGGGTTTTGTACAGAAAGGTTCTTCAAGGCTATTTTGTGATAATAAATCAGCCATTATGCTTGCTTCTGATTTTGTTTTACATGAAAGGTCGAAACATATTGAGGTAGACATTCACTTTATTCGAGAGAAGGTTCGATCGGGTATCATTAATCCTATTTTTGTTCCTTCTTCAGAACAGACTGCAGATGTGTTCACAAAGTCTGTTGGGCTTTCTCTTCTCCAGTCTTCCATAGTCAAGCTGGACTTAGTCAAGATATTTGTTCCAGCTTGAGGGGGAGTGTAGGAAATCTTATCTATAAGTTGACTCAACGATTATGGCAGATTTATTGGGTCTTCAATATAGGCTAATTTTTAAAGATTTTATTTTTATTCTGATTTGATTTGATTTGATTTTATTCTCTTTATTTTGATTTGATTTTATTCTCTTTTCCATATTTGTAATTTTTCGCTTGTATATAATGATAGTCAGGCTCTCAAATTGAATACGCCAATTTTACCAAGTTTTGAGAGTACGCCAATTTTACCAAGTTACTTTTCAAATAAAAAATAATAATTAAAGAAAGAAAAACCCCATTTTTGTTGTCCTCTTCAAGTAATCAGTGGTCCAATAACAGAGTTAAGGAAAATTTCTATATTTGTGCAGTATGTTTTCCGTATTAAAGAAAAATCTCTGTAGCAAAGACAGTTAATGAAAACCCAGACAAAAATATTTCTAATATTAAATTAGATCCCTCATCCAATTCTATAAAGCATTTTCCCAACCATTTGTTACACAATCAATGATCAGCTTAATTGCAAGGAAGACAATGGTAAATATACAGACACCTGAACCAGTAAAGGAGTTGACAATGGGCTTTATATCATTCTGAAATTTCTTTTTTATTCCCACAAATCTCAGAAAATCAAATGTAACATATGGGTATATACATACCAAACCATTTCTTATAAACCATGAGCTTTATTGCCAAAGGCCCCAAAAACCAAAATAGGTGATAAACTTCATTGATCCAATGAAAATAACAGGAAAAAGTTCAGTAGATGATCATCACAAATCAAGGAACGGAACGACAACAATTGTGGACAATCAACTAATAAACAATCCTATGCATACGAAAAGATTACTGAAGCAACTTTTTACTAAGCAAATCACAGTGAATGCACAAAAGCACACTTCTTTGAAAACAACAACGTTAATCCGAATATAAGACATAACAATGAATATGCAACTATAACAGGAGCCTCAAATTATAATTTCTCAGCCACCACCCTCTTAAGTCCATCCTCATGAATGACGATATCACAATGCAAAAAATTGTCATTTTAAGGTGCCCGAGTCTCTCCTCATTATATTATATGGTAACTACTGCCGCAGCTAGCTTTTAGGCCTAACTAAAATTGCATCTGTGCAATTTCCCCTAAAACTGCCTTCTATTAGTAAGGCATCTTCTGGCAATTAATAACTTTGGAATCCTCAACTACCCTCATGTTACCTTTGGGAGCATGGAATCGGCGCCTTGGAATGGTGTTGGAAGAAGTGGTCAATTGTGTTGGAAGAAGTGGCTAAATTGTTGTGCGTCCAACCATATGATATATGTTGTGTACAAAATAAAATAATTACAAAGTTGGAGTGAAGTATGCATCATGGAAAAAGTAGAAACCCTGTATATGCATGTGGGGATATGATGTTGGGATGATAGTGGAGCTGTGAAGGGTGTAAACCATGAGCTTTATTTCCAAAGGCCCAAAAAACAAAAAAAGGTGATAAACTTCATTGATCCAATGAAAATAACAGGAAAAAGTTCAGTAGATGATCATCACAAATCAAGGACGGAACAACAACAATTGTGGACAATCAACTAATAAACAATCCTATGCATACAAAAAGATTACCGAAGCAACTTTTTACTAAACAAATCACAGTGGATGCACAAAAGCACCTCTCTTCATTCATATACAATACGTTTATCTTGGACAGCTGGAATCATGCTGCAACAACTGGATCTTGTATGTTTATCAAAGTGGAAAAAGAAGGCAATGTTAAGATCATTGTTTGTACTCAAGAAACAACTGGATCTTATACGTTTATCAAAGTGGAAAAAGAAGGCAATTTAAGATCGTTGTTTGTACTTGAGAAAGTTTATAACACTGTAGTAGATTACTAAGCATCTTAGACCAGTACATTGACATTTACAAGCTAAAACAAGAGTGAATCCATGAGACATTAAAAAAGATCTATACTTGGAAATTTTTACATTGTTTCCAGAAAACTTGGCACTGTTGCATACAAATAAATACGCAGAAATCTGCTGCGTGAAGATGTTATGTATTTGTTAATACAGGTAAAAAGTTGACTTATGTAACTTTTGAATAAGATGAGTTCAAAATCCCATTCATCCCATGGCCCTGTCTCACTTGTTAGACATTTCCTTTCTCTTTATCTTTCAAAACTGCTTTGATGCCAGGAAGATGAGGAAGTTGGAGTCTGGAATAGCTGGTTCTTTGATCTGTTCACAACAGTTTTTGACTGTCTGGTCTTGACAGCACATTGAACATTTACTGCTTTTCAAAGAATTTCAAATATCCTATCATCTAATAACCATAAAGGACTCTTCACAGTTCAACTGGTTTGACCATCTAGTCTAAGATGTAGGACTGCTTAGAGTTATTGATCCAAGAAAAACATAATTGGTCTTAACCAGAGAAAATTTGAGTGCTAATCATACTGTCCTCCTTATGCTAGCCATTCACTTATCTCAATATTTAGTTGATTCATGGCTTACTGTTTTTCGAGGTCCAACATTATCCAATATAAAGCACGACCAGACTGATTACAAAGAAAAGAACAAGGTTAATTCGAATATAAGGCATAACAATGAATATGTAACTATTACAAGAGCCTCAATATTTTCTCAGCCACCATCCTCTTAAATCCATCCTCATGTATGATGATATCACAATGCAAAAAATTGTCAATAATTTCTCAGCCACCATCCTCTTAAGTCTCTCCTCATTATATATATGGTAACAATTGCTGCAGCTAGCTTTTAGGCCTAACTAAAATTGCATTCTGCAATTTTCCCTAAAACCGCCTTATATGAGTAAGTCATCTTCTGGCAATTAATAACTTTGGAATCCTCAACTATCCTCATGTTACATTTGGGAGCATCGAATCGGCGACTTAGAATGGTGTTGGAAGAAGTGGTCAATTGTGTTGGAAGAAGTGGCTAAATTGTTGTGCGCCCAACCATATGATATATGTGGGGTACAAAATAAAATAATTACAAAGTTCGAGTGAAGTATGCATCGTGGAAAAAATAGAAACCCTGTATATGCATCTGGGGATATGATGTTGGGATGGTAGTGGAGCTGTGAAGGGTGTAAATTGAAGATTGAAGTGACTTTACACCACTGGAAACCTCCAGATTATACCACATGTTATGATCTCTCCACCCCAAAGGGGAGGCTGATCGTTCAAGCTTTGCTAGGGACAATATTGCAAGTGTGCGCAGGGAAAAAAAAAAAAAAACAGGGAAAAAAAACACCTCCAGATTATGGCAAGAAATATTGTATCCATATGGCTAAGCCATTGCATTGATTAGTATTTCACAACAATTAGGATCACGGTGATGTTAATGTAAAATAGTGGATGGTTAGGATTGGTTCACTTAGGATGTTAATATAAAATAGTGGATTGATTTTGAGATTTGCTTTCATTGCTTCCAGAAAATCCTTTCATATATCATTGCACATAAATTTCACAATGTCAAG